ATAATATAATATAATATAAATTAATGTATATTAAATTATAATAAATAAATATATTAATAACGTAATAAACATAAATTAATATATACTTAATAATACATTAAACATCATTTAATAATAACTATTATTAAATTATTACAGAAAATTATTTTTCTTCCAGGAAAGGAAAAAAGAATATTTTATGAAATTTCAAAAACACTGGTCGCTTGTATTTTAAAATTAGTTTTATGTGCACATTGCACGTTTGCATTTTAATATGTATAGTATATATGCATGTAACTACAAATCCATCAATATACCGTTTTTTATCAAGCATTTGGATATGCTGTTAAATATTCATTTATTATGGCAGTTATATTGATTTAAATAGAATCTGAAGCAAAGTGGTTTAACGATTTTTGTAGTACCAGTTCCAATCATTTATAGATAAAACGGTAGCTCGGTTCAAAAAATTGATTTACAAAGCAATTTATTCATGATAGGAAAATATCAATTTATATCCTTTTTCACGTTAAATTTATTTTACTGTTTGACTAAGCAAATAGTATGAATTTATAACTGAAATGTTGTGTAGTTGTGTTGTTATTTCATATCTTTATTTATTTATCATGAATATAATACATATAAAATAGCATTCATTTCAGAATGCAACTCATAAAAAATAATTATAATTTTTAATAATAGCTCAATTTATTTAGTTATTATGTAACTAAATTATTTTTAATGGTATTTAAATAAGTATTTCAAGGTGGGGAATAACTATTTATTATTCATAAAATTACTTTAATAAAATAAAAATAACACAATCTTGGTATATATATATTTTCACTAAAATAATATAAATATAAATTAATAAAAAATTTAAATTAAAAAGAAAATGGAGAATTAAATATTATTTTACTTCTGTTTTAATAGTAGTAAGATTTTAAAATAGAAAATATGTTTTGCTATGCGTAATAATAATGAAGTATAGCATGTATAGTATGGCAATATGTGGTGATCCACTCTGTATATACAATTCTACGATTTAATATTCGAACACCGAGGTACTTGCAGAATTATGGCCCTATATATTTATTTGAAATAATTGTGTCGACGTTACTGGTTTGTAATAGCTCGAAGTACATATTCCGATTTACAAATATATAAAATTAAGTACTTTATTTACGATTATTTTATACATACCGGATGTTATCGCGTTCGACGTGCGGTGCTCGTGCTTACCGATAACGCCCGGAGTGGCTGCCGCGAACCGACACGACTGGAACGCTAATTAGTGAAATAGTGAGTTTGTGATCCTGTGATTGAACCCCCGTGTCCCCCTCAAGTGCTTATATCTTGTCGAGGTGAGGGGCTCGATTACAGGATCACAAACTCACTATTTCACTAATTAGCGTTTCAGTCGTGTCGGTTCGCGGCAGCCACTCCGGGCGTTATCGGTAAGCACGAGCACCGCACGTCGAACGCGATAAGGGCCATATTGTTATTTAGCGCGGTCTCCGTATCGATGGCATATTGATCGCATATCTTACAGGTAAGACTATTGTCATGGACATTATAAAACGTTATAAAGATGCAGATCGAATTGTATCTACCCCGCAAAAGACGACCGTGTGTTCTTAATGCTGGTGATAAGCGACAAATTATTCGAAAAATAAAAATTAAACCAAAAGATTGAGTGCTCCTACTTTAAATGCAGAATTGTATCAAGAAACTGGTAAGAAAGTACACGTGGATACAGTTGGTTTTAATATAATATCAGAAGATGGAAGTTAAAACAGGATATCAATAATATGACCATGTGTTTATAACGATTAATATAAATTTGTATTAGAGATTTACTGCACGTGAGTACTGCATACCGTATCCACTAAGGCCTGCCACACTCACAATATGACATATAATTAGTTCCAAGTGTTACCAACACGCCGTACCTCTTTAACACGTTCGTTGCTCAACGCGATTCAGTGGAGTTTCTCGCGGGGCCCAGATCCTACTGTCTGAGCGTTAGAACGTTATCGGACCGATGATTTGGATGCGTCTAGTACAGCCACCGCTCGTTAGATGTTGCTCAACGGACCCTATTTACAATTTTCCATTTCCTGTAATCGTTTTGAATTACTATCGGCAAACTTGCATTTTGCAAATAACGAAACGATAGAACAGAGTAGCAGA